GGCCAGCACGCTGGGCTGGGAGTGAGCTCATGAGCTCACAGCCTCTCAGTGCCAGCTGCCAGCTCGGCTGGGACATGGGAGCGAGGGGAAAATGCATGTGGGAGGAGGAAGGCACGGGGGGCGGGGGGTGGGTGTAGAAAGGGGACAGGATGTTAGTTGCTAACATTACATGTTTAGATCTGCCAAAATTATGTTGGAGGTCTCGGTGTTTACACCTCTGCAGTAAAGGGTGGCAGGCTTTGCATTGTGTGAGACTGCTTCACTCCAGGCTGACATTTGGAGCTACAGCTGCCTGGCAGGGGCAACTCAGAAGGAGCAGTGTGCTCTGAGGAGGGACGTTTCTATTTTGCTACAGACCAGCAGCTGCCTCTCTTCTCAGTAAGATACTGGAGTGGTACCTAGGGCTAGACCAGGGCTACCTACCAAAGCCAAGGCAAAGAGCCAGCAAGGAGTATAGAGATTACTGCTATTTATTTAAAGCAACCACCACAGGTTTGGGAACTATCCATTTTAATAACCACACCTCACACACAGACACCTTCACATTTATAACCATTTCTTTTTACACCACTCATTAATGCAAACAGTCATCTCCCTAATAACTGAGTTAGCTTTATACACTTCAGCAGCCTGACCAACTTAAAATTACTTTAGCATCAGGGCTTCTGTTACAACCAAAAAGATCAGTGTATCTCAATTAAGATGGCTGTGGCTGCAACCAATGTGACCATCTGAGCTGAGATGTAGAAAGAAGTGGATTGTTCTGTGCTTGTGAATACCATGTTTTGTGGTACTGTTCTCGGAACAGGTGAGAAGGCACCAAGAGCTTCATTGTACCAGACCCTCTATTAGGGTCTTTAAGGCAGAGATATAAAAGCAGAGAGCCAAGGAACACAGTTCACCTCAGCTTTGTCCAACCAGGCCCCACTAGTATCAACAGTAAGTGGTGCTGAGGGATATAAATGTTATTATGAGGCACTGCACCGTAGTAAGATTCACCATACCCTGCTGTGGCTTGCTGCCCATCTGCACCAAACAGCCATGCCATGCCTCAGCACCTCTCTTCCCAGAGCAAGACAAGCAGTACAGGTTCTGCTACTGCAGATTCCCCATTCTTCCTCTAGATACCAACCATTCTTTTACAGCAAAGATACAAAAACAGAGCACAAGATTTCCCCTGTATGTGGTCAACACACCCTGGAAGAAAGGGACACCATGAAATAAAATCCTACACCAAAAGAAACTGGCAGAAGGATAGACTCCAACTGTCATTTTAAACAACAACATGGAATAAAGAATGAAATCCTCAAAAGGCAACTCCTGTATGTCCTATCACTTATTCCAACTACTTGGGGCATGGCAAAGGGACATGTGCCACCCCTTTGTTAGTGCTTGTAGACATTCCTCCAAAAATGTTAACATCTTGAGAGCTGGCAGTATTACTTCTGATATCTTTGAAGAGCAAAATGATAATCACTTGCCAGCAGTTCAAAACCACTGTGACATGGTGATCTTAACAGACCCGTGATGAAGTCATGGTTCTCTTCCCAAGCTGATTTTGCCATGTACCCTGTTCAATGAAGTGCAGAATTGACACACAGTCTTCCAGAAGAGGCTGCTGCAAAGTCAGGCCTCCAAACATCAGTATCACAAGCACCTCCTGTTCAAACTTCAGTGCATTGATGTGTCTTCAGTGTAAGTAGGTTGCACAGTTCTCATCTTCTGGGGAAACCAAGACCCGCTCTATACCCACCCAGTACACACAGCAAGGCTAAAAGGAGCTGCTAGCTCCACCTCTGGGAGGAATTGCTGAAGGAATGGCACCAAATTCCCACCCGCCTCCCTGATATGGGAGGCTGCCTCCACAGCTGCAAACCCAAATGGGCTCTCAGAGCCTCCACAGCCCAGCAGCTGTAGTGGCTATTTTCTGCTGAACCAGGGCCTCAGTATTTTCAGATGGAGAAAAGCCTTCTTGAACTCACACACACTCAAAGGCCTGTGTACAAACTGAACTTTGTGAACCACTAGTGGTATTCTTCCTTGCTATATATATTACCAGGGGAAAAACGGAACTTTTAATAGATTTATTTTCAACCTACTTTAAACTCATGAAGATAGGAGGCCTTATGTCATCATTATAGTTACTACATGTGATCCTGTGTGTGTTGTGAGGAAGCAAGATAGAAATGAGTACTGGATGAACTTAAAAGCTTGCAACTCCTCTGCCAAAGCAAAGTCTGTCACAAGTTGCTAAATACATAACCACGCAAGTTAAAGAGACCCACACACTGATAAGCCAGTATTTCAGGGTGATGAGCCTGCTGTGCACCAGCTATGAATCAAAATCTTATCTCTAATCTTTCTTCTGCTATGAGATTTCTGCATGGATAGTAAGTCACTATCTGAACTTTCATTAACCCTCTTCACTCCTTTTCGCCCTGAACGGAGATCTGTAGAAATCTGTACCTATTTACTTTGTCCAGGGCTGGAAGTATAAACATGCTGATGATTGTGAACTGCTTATACCACAGCGATCACACACAGACAAGTTTTACAAAACTATACTATCAGGCCAATATTTTACAGTAAAATTACTTGGGGGTGACAGAATTAGAGACAAAAGCATTGATGTATGCTGGCACAGAAATCCCTGCTTTGGGCAGCAATGTATCTGATCCATATGTAAGTCTGTGGAAGCAGCAGGCATGCACCAGGTACAGCATGCTGTTTCCCCAACACAGAGAAGACATCATCAACTCATGTCTTTTCTGCTCTTTACTGTATATATTTAAGCTTTAATGTAAGTTTTCTATTATTGTGTAGCTTTGGGAAGACAGGCTTGTCAGCTGCTCTGACAAAACAGCTTTTAATTGAATGAAGTTGCTAGACTGGCATCTTGATACAGACTCCCTTCTTTAGTTGTACTAGATGTTGGGATGGGGCTCCCGTGGGCAGTCTCTGACATCCACCAGTTCCCCAAACATGCTGAAGTGGGATGGGGGTAGAGGTAAAGATTTTATTAGTACCACAGATCTGACTAAAAGGGGAGTTTTGCCAAGACCAGATTCATCTGCAAAGGCAGCCTCATTAAAACACCCTATGTGAACTGAGGGTCCTTTGAATCAGGCCAACAAGATCTATTTCTAGGTGCCTCAGAAACCACCCTGGAATTCAAAATGAGGATTTCAGCTTTTCAGAAACTGGGAAAAAATCTCTATATACAGCTTCACACGGAAAAGTTTTTCTTAGTGTAACAGGAACACCTTCATTTGCTGTTTGTTGTAAACTGGCCAGTTTACCCTACTGACTTTTGAGGAGGCCAAAGATCACCTGTGTTTGCAGTCAGCACATTCAGGCAGAGTGGGGTACCACAAAGCCACCTTAGTTAAGGTTATGCAGAGCTAACAACACATACATTGATAGTAACAAGCCCAGAACAAGCAGTTTGAGACAGCATCCCCAAATAAACCGTGCATAGGTACAGAAGTGCTAGACTCACTTTCACACTTTCCAATGCTCATTATAAAAAAAATATTAGTTGCACACTAACCAAATACTTTGTCTGAGCACTAGATCCTCACTTTGCAACCTACTTAAGCAATATTTTAAAGCTGTGTTCTGAACTAACTACTATTCCAAAAACAGGACTATGATAGCAACAAGAAATGCACTTAGCTGGCATAAATTTGACTAGCTTGTGTTTATATCAGGGAGATGACAAGCATTAAGTCAGTCTTTGTGGGAAGAGTCTCATCTTCAGGGTATCAGCTTTCTAGAAATGGTGCTGTTTCGTACAATTCTCATGGAATTAATTTTTTTACTGATTTCAGGCCTAACAAAGATATAAGACTGGTAAAATGCTGATTCCCTAACTCAAGGCTATATACAGATCTAAAAAGGTACAATAATTCAGGCAGCAGTTGTTCAATTAAGTATAGGAACAACATGGTTAAAAATTACAGCTTCAATCTATGCGACTTCAGTGAGATTGTCTAACGAGTTGCTCTTTACAACAAGGAAGCATGTCTGAGGTCATGTGAGACTAAAGCACATGCTCACGCTGCAAGAAGAAGTTTAATATAGGGAATACACAACTTTACAGAAACCCCTGCTGCATTTCCGTATATGCTCTGCACCTCCTTGGGAGATGCCTGCACCTCCTGGGGTCAGGCTCTTCACAAACTCTTTCAAATAAGCAATCCCCAGAAAGTACTCTCACCCTGGAGACCATAATTGGCTCGTGGCATGCAAGTTAAACTAAGAAAGAGATTATTTGAATCATGGAGCCCTTTAGAAACCACTAGACCAGTGACCCCTCTAAACATCCAGTATTTTATCCATCATTAAAGTTACTTAAGAGCCATGCTGACATCACAGTATCTTTCACAACTATTGTAATGATCTTAACCAAATGAATCACTTGAGTTGTCTGGGACAGCAAAATAAATCCAGGTTATCTCATAGGCAGTGGATAAGAATTGCATGTTATTATTTTCCACCTTTAGTTCGAACAACTCTTTGTAGCTATTTGAGTGCTGTAAACCACAAACAAGGCAAACTGCGGCAGCCTGGCTCTCCATCGGAGCCGAGGCGGCTGAGGCAGCGTGTGCCCTCTGTGCTGAACGGGGCACATTCCTCACCTGAAGGCCGGCGAGAGGGTCGGAACCCCGGAGAAGGGGGATCTGGCCAGTGGCCATGCCCGGCCCGGAGCACTGCCCCGCAGGCGCCAGGCATCCCCCACCCCAGCGCCGGGCGATGCCGTGGCGCCTCGGCCCCAGCGCCGCTAAAAATAAAGCCCGTCTCCGCCTGCCCGCCCTCGGGAATCGAGGCCGGATCGATGGTTTTCTTTTAAAGCCGGATTTTATCAATCGCCCCCCACCCCCGCCAACCCGCCTCTGAACCGCCCAGCCCGGACCACAGCCCTGCGAATAACTTCAGCGCCGGGATCGCCGGCGGGCGGGGGGACGGGGCCGAGGATCCGCGGAGCGCTCGGCACTCACCTGGCCGGCGGTGTCGTACAGCCCCAGCAGGTACTGCTTGCCCCCGACGGTGACGCTGACTGCGAGGGGAGAGAAACGCAGCGGATGAAGGGGGGCAAGCCCGGCCGACCCCTCTGCCCGCCCCCCCCGGCAGGGCAAGGCCAGGGGATGGAGGGAGGAGGGAGGGGAGAAAGCGGCCGCCGCCCCCAGCGGTCGCGGGACCCCCCGCCCGCTCACCTGCGTAGTGGTCGAAGACGGTGGGCACGTACTCCTCGGGGAAGGCGTCGTTGGCGTAGCTCATCAGCAGGCACGTCTTGCCCACGGCGCCGTCCCCCACCACCACGCACTTCAGCATGACCGCCGCGCTGCCATGGGCCATGGCCGGAGCCCGCCCTCATGGCCCCGCGGGCGCGCCCCGCCGAGCCGGGCCCCTCGGCATCGCCGCCGCCGCCGCCGCTCAGCGGGCGCCCCCGCCGGCCCCCGCCGGGCGCGGCCCCCCCGCCATCCGCCGCCGCGCTGGGCCCGGCGGGAGCCGCCTTCCCCGGCCGCGCCGCGCCGCGCACGGAGCGCCCGCCGGGCGCGGGGCCGGAGCGGGAGGGGCGGCCCGCGGGGCGGGCGGCCCGCGGGGCTGCAGGGCCGGGGCGAGGGCCGCTCTCGCACAGCGCCCCGGCCCCGCCGCCCGCGCACGCACGCACGGCAGCGCCCGGCGCCTCCCCGCCCCGCAAGTTACTTGGGCGCTGCGGACACCCCCTGCCCCGCGCGAGCTGCGCGGCCGCGTTGATTCCGTGGTGATCCCCCAGCATCGCCCTGCGCGTACAAAGGGAGCTCCGGTAGCATCCTCTGGTATTAGCCCCTAACTGTGCCGGTAAGCGTGAAAATAATCAACGGGATGCAAAAGGATTTTGTTCTGCACTGAGTTTGTTGTCTCTGGGTCTAAATTCAGTAGTGGGAACAGATTTAAGAACGCCAACGTGTGTCATTTGAACAGGCTTGAGTATCCTTTCACGAGGACCAGAAGACAAGACTTAGAAAGAGATGCTGCATGAAAAATGCTGCGTGAAATCATACTCCCACTAGTGTCAGTAGCAAAAGTCCCACTGTTCAGTGGCACCAGGCTGTCACCTTAGCAAGCTGTTTCCAATTCACATTTTCAAATGGTGTGAAATACGTCTACAGTCAGACAGAAACAATTGCCTTTCTGAGTTTACAATTTTTCCAGATTTGTGCTATAAGCCCTATCCAATTACAACAAAACCAGCACACAGCAGTGCAAGCCATAAGGAGACCTCTGTGTTGTGTAGTTTGTATTTCTATTTGATCTGACATGCTTCAGGGAGAAAATAAATGCAAATCCCACATTGCACAAAGCTTATCTGAATATTCAATGAAACACATTTCCAAACCAGGACAAAATACAAAAGTTATTACTTTGCAAGTTTTTCAGCTTAGTCAATCAAGCTTTCATGCCTTCAGACCACAGAGGGTGTGAGCAGGACATCCAAGACCGCTTGCTCCGGTGCAATCACATCACAGTTCATCCAGAGAGCATCAAAGCCATGAAGAGATAGAAGCTGCCCCAGGAGGTATTTCCTCAGCCCTTGGAAAATGCCAGCTATAAAGGAAAGCTGGATTTACCAAGAAGTCAGTCAACTGGTAGCCAGCACAGGACTCAGTACACAGGTCTCTCAGACAACAGCTTTTCCTAGTGAGCATATATGTCCTGCAGGAACATCTGTTTCCACATTCAGGAAAACTGCTTTAGAGGTCTCCAGGTAGCCATGAGGGACTTGAAATCATGGAGATACTCAGTGGCCCAGGTGACATCCACTTCCCTTTTTCTTGCCAATGTATACATTTAGGGGTACCCAACACATCCTTGAGCACGAGCAGCCCAGGCTGCCATCTGCACAACTGATGGGAAGTATGCTTCCTCCACTCTGCTGCTTGCTTAATTGCTAGTGTTGCTTCCCAAATCCTGTAATCATCATTTTGAACTTGCACAATCTCAGCCAAATGATTCTCATCCAATCCTCCATCTTGCTCAGACAATGCATAACCAATTAGTCTGTGCTAAATATTTAGAGAAAATGAAGATACAGAACTGGCAAACTGAAACTCTCACCTTGGCTCTCTCCTCACTAGTTTGGCTGGTTGTACAGCCAGGGAATCACATAGCTGAAAGACTGGGACCTCGCAAAACCTAACAAGTGTCCTAAAAAGAGTGATATGGCTCTGTGGAATCACCTATAGGATGATAGGTGATCCATGTAGGACTGTTGTTTCATCCACAGCATAATTACTTGGTTTGTTTTTCACCCTTTGCAGGTGTCATTTTCCAGCCAGCAGCCACAGGAGTGGGATAAGGATGGTGCAGCTCTAAGGAAAATACACATTTTGAAAGTTCCTGGGTATTTGTTTATTGTCTTCAACTTCTCTAGCTTTCAACAGCTCCTCAAGAATGTATTATAATCTGCTCAGTGAAGGTTTTCAATTCAGCTGTATCAGCACAATGGATAACTTCTCACATCCTTCTTTCACATAGATTAACAATCTGTCCTGTGTAATATACTTCCATTTTTCAGCAGTACAAATATAGAGTTAAAATAATTGCCTATAACAAATATTATTTTCAATATCTTTATTAAAGACACTCAATCTAGCCATTTCCCCTAACTTCTTTCATAAGGTTGTAAAATAAACCAGTATGAAGTGTTCAAAAGAAACACCATCTTAGTGATATTTAAAATGTATTTTTATTCCTCATTGTTTGCTATAAAGTTATAGGAAATGAGAAAACAGTTCCTTCTAATTTTTCACAAAAGGGACACTTTCTGACTAGTTCTAGGCTATGTGCTGAATGGTTACTTTGGTATCATATATGCATACTAAACAGTCAATTTTTTTCATTTAAGGAATTAAAATTTTGCTTTCTAGGATTTTTGTAAGATTTCTATATGCATATGAGGCTGAACACTCATTGGGAGGAAGAAATGTAAATAGATTACCCTTAGAAAGAAGTCCTGTTCCAAATAATTCAGGTCAGTAATGGAGGAAAGTGTGTAGAGGAGAAGGTCTAATAAATGATGGGAAGCTTATGAGGACACAAGTCTAGTGAAACTCCATAATGGTTGTGCAGCTGAACATATCTTGGAAGAAATTTCAGGGTTATTCAGACTTTTCAACTGGGAACATGGCACAGGACAATGAAGTAGGATCAAAAAACCTTCACCTGCGTTACCAGCAGAAACTAGAAGAGAAAGGAATGGAGCCAGGCCTCAGTACAAGCAGCAAAAGACCTGTTTGGTCTACGGGACCAGGAAATAAGTGGTATTAATAATGTAATCAACACATTTTGAAATTACAGATCTGTCTGTGTCCATTATTAACATGTCTATGTATTTAACCTAGAAATTTACACAAATTTGTTACTTTCTTCAACTGTGCTGCCACTCTGTGTTGTGAGTACACTCCAGCAAGTCTCTGTCCCAGTTCTTCTGTTCAGCTGCCAGATAAACTGCAGTGCCTCGCTTTGTCACTGGGGTGTTGTGCATCACTAGCATGTGGCCATGCATCTCACCACAGAGGTGGACATCTTTCATCTGGGTGAAATGACTTTATGGAAATAGCCAATATTTGAGGAAACACCTCTAAAAATGCCAAGTCTCAATTGAAGCTCAAATCAATGTATGAAAAAAAACCCCTGAATTATTCCCACTAAGTCCATCAGAGGATTATTTTCTTTTTAGGCATCCCTGCCTGTGGAAAATTGGAGCCATGGTTCTCTAGTTCTCTGAAAAACCTTCTAGACTTACAAGGAATGTTAAGTCTTTAGGAAAGTCAGTGAAAAGGGCAATGCCATCTAACTCCTTGTTTGTACCATATTGTCTTTCAGACCAATCAATCTCTCATCCTCAAGTACAGATGTCCCTAAGCAGAAGGTAACACCTGAGTGAACATAACACAATCCCAGTTTTTAGTCTGAATAATTTACTGTTTCCATAAGTGGTGAGAACACAATTTTTACAGTTTATGAATCATTACACTTTGTTTTTCTGCCCAATATTAGGTAAATCTGAGAATGGGACTATATTTCAGCTAAAACAGAGGAAAGAAATCACATATTTCTAATGTGCCAAAAAAGAATAGGCAAATTGATAGCTGCCAATCCAATTCCTTCTGAATGTCAGTTACCACTCTAATTTTCTCTCAATTCTAAAGGGTGACAGCTGCGAGTTAGCCTTCCCTGTGTTTTTCAAGAACATGGTGGTATCTCCAAGCAAGGGCAAGCACTATATGAAAACAGAATGACAGGATGACACACTTTAGGTCATCTGCAGTGTTCATCTGCTAAAGCACACTAGCTCTATACTGCACCTGTAGTGGCCTGCATCTCCGAATGGGGATGAGTTTTGCAAATAGGAGAAGGAAGCATCACTGGTTTTCTTCAGGGAGCAGCCTAGTGTGCTGCCCTACCTGGAAAGCTCCTCCACAGGTCTGATCTCATTCTGTTATGCTGTTGCAGCTTGTGATTCTTTATCAATATTTCCTTTCTTTTTTGCACGGATGTAACTGAGATGGGAGTTCTCACAAAAGCAACATAGTAGCAAAATAGCAAGCGTGAAATAGTAGCACCAGGATAAAAACTATAATGCATTGCTGAGAATGAGATACAATGTTTTAAAAATAAATTTGTACTACCCACTGCAAAGTGTCACAATCACTACTCTGTGATTTTCCTTAATAATTCTAGTACAAGTGAAAAGTGGTCAAAGAAAATACATCAGCAGAAATATTTTCTCTGATAAGTCAGATCCTTTGAGAAGAATACCTTTTGAAATCATGTCAATTCCATGAAAATGTTTTAAGAAAGCCATACAAATGTTCTGACAGCTTCAAAGCATTCAATTTTTATTTTTGCAGAGTAAAATATTATAATTTCTAAATCACTACGGTTTCAATTTAAGTTAGCATAGTGTTAGCATATGGTGTAACATAAATGAAAAGGTGCCATCATTAAGCATTTCCACCAGCTTCATTTTACTTGCAGAAGTTTTGGGGTTTTTTTTAAGGATTGCAAATTTTTCAGATTACATTGCTAATTAGAGCAAAGACAAATCTCAAAAATATTCATAAAAGTGAACTTTTATCCTCTGAACAGCTTATGTCCTTGTCATATTCCTGGCAGGGCTAAAAGAGATATTAAGAAAAAGAAAAAAATAAACAGCAACCAAAAAAAGAAACAAAAGTTTCTGGTTCAGATAACTTCTGAGAGGGTACTAAATTTCACATATGAGAAGTCCACAGATCCAACCCCATGCCTAAAGTTAATCTTGTGTTTTATTCAGGCAGACATAAAATTCAGTTTTCTACACAAGAATTTAAAGCACCAGAGAAAATATATCTGTTGGAAACTTGGTGAGTTCAGGGCACCTGCCTCCCACAGGTTTCTTGACAAATCTATAATTTCAAGATAGAATATTAAAATAAAAAATAAATTATGCCAGAGCTCTCTTGGTGCTATTTCATATTCAGTGAAGGAACCTGAGCAGAATTAAGTTTCTACTCAGCTACTTAGCACTGGGCTAAGTGTCAAGAAGCAGCAATTCTTTTCCTCAGGCCAACCTGATAACAATGCCTTGCAGTTCACCAGACATTTTGTTGGAAATAAAATCTGCATCATGATGGGGCTTTTGTACAGCTCAAGTCACCACTATTCCTGGGCATGGAAGAGATGACTAAGCACTTAACCTTCTCAGCTGATGCCACCTCTACGGCTCCATGCATCCCCACAGCATCAGAGCATCCCTTTCATGGGTACCACTAAATACCCACCTCTGACTCATCCCTGACTCATCCCAGCACTCAAGACTGTATAGTCTGGCATGGCTGCTATGTACCATGGTGTACCAAAAGGAGAATGAAACAAATTCTTAAACCTTGATTCAGTGCCAGAGACCAGAAGAGGTATTGTTACATGAATGGGATGATTGTTACATGAATGGGATGAGAAAGGAATACTGACTCCTTCCTGTATTTTGAAACAAAACTAATTCCCAACATATCTGGTTCTGGAAAGCTAAAATTGATTCCTACATGGCATTGGTGAGTTCCCTGGGACAATCATGGGCTTGCTTCATTCAAAACTACCCCAAAGAATGTTCTAGGGATGTCACAGTGCTGACAACTGAATCTTAGCATTTGAATATATACTCTGACTTTGTTTAATTTACTAGAATAAATGTCCTAATTGCAAGGCATTGCAAGGCCTATGTGTTCCAAATTTCATTTTTATTGAGCTGCACTTATCCAAAGCAAATAATTTCCCTTGATTCTTACCAGTTATTATTACTTATTAATTCTGGTAAATCTGGTAATATTCCCCTTTGTGCAAAAAACAACTAACCAACCAACCAACCAACCAACAAATCTTCCAGCTCTCTATATATATGCCTGAAAAAAAAATACCTTTTAAATTCCACTTGCTATAAATTAATCTGACCTTAAAACTGACATGTGTGTTTTCCCTAACCATTGATGAAATCTGGGTTCAAGTTTGAATTTTCATGAAGTTTGGAATTCTTTCAACAGGTTCTCTGAATTTGATTCTAGATCTGCTTGACAGATAGAAGTAAGTCCCTAAATGAGTTAATCTTCTGTACACCAGTAAGATTCAACTGTAAAGCCAAATGGTGGTATAAACATCTTTGGTATAGTAGTAGATGGGATACTGGGAAATGGGGGTGGAGAACAAGAGAAGCAAGTGGAAAGGCAGGCAACCCCACAGTACCCCTAGTCCTGCTTTAGAACCCAAATATAACCTTGCATTGGGTGCAGGGAAAAGATAGGTCCTACTTTGGCTGTCCTCTTCAACAACTTGTCATCTAATCTGGCACGTGGAGAAAGCTGGAGGACATTAAAAACAGACCTGAGAACAGAAATCCAGGCTTGGGGAATCTAGCATATGCAGGGGAGCATGGGCTGTAAGCATCTCACTCTGAAGCATTAGAAACACCTTAGGTGTTAATAGAAAGCTAATGATTTAATAGGGCTGAAAGAAAAGAACACGCTGGAAATTTTCTCAGGCAGAGTTTTAAGTATCCTGATGGGAAATGGAGGGGGAGGGAGAAGAGACCCATAATTTTCTTCTCAGGTATGTATTGGAATAAAAGAGGAACCATAATTTCTGAGGATTCTCTCATTATGGTATTAATAACTTCACATGCCAAAAATTTCAGTGAGGGGTGACAAGGTCCTTCCATATAACGATAGAGAGAACAGGGCTTCAGGGTCACATGTTTATTTAATTGCATTAGTGCTGTTGCTGCAATATAAATTACAAGCACCTAAAGAACTTCCAAGATCTAAAAAACCTAGTCCTTATTAAAAATATCACTTTGCTCAAAAACTTTGCTGACATATGGTTAAAGCTGCTCAGTTGCTTCCATGAAGTCAACACAAGCATAATTTGAACTTCTGAGAAACCAGAAAATATAGAGGATAATAAAGCAATATTCAATTCAATCTTTATATACCTGTAATGGAAAGGAAATAATTCACCTTTTCAGTGAGTGATTTTCAGATAACATAACATATAACTACTATAGCTCAGGCACATCTTGTCTTTGGAAAAGTGGGCTGTATTCAAAGTGACACTTCTTTTACATGCATGCTCTGACCCAATTTCCTAGATAAAAATTCCATGACAATTAAATTTTATCTTTTCCCCCGACTCACCATTTAGTCACAAATATATTATTAAGCCCCAAGAACATTTTTCCTACTTTACTTTGCACTTTTGATCCTACCCATAGGAGTCATGAGCACTGTGGGGCTGAGGCCCAATCTGAAGGTATGGACTCCCATTTTCCCTACTATCATAGTTTACTAAGTTTTCTAGCATTTCACACAGCATTAATCAGCTCAGCAAATACTGCCAGTTCCCTGTTCCCTTTGCCAGCTCCCAGGAGGGAAAAATAAAGGTTGCTTGAATGTTGACCTAAACTCTGCATTTCCTGGCTTCAAAAAGTCTGAATTTTGCTGAAGCTGATATTTTATAAGAGCTTTAACTACTGCCAAGAAATCCTAACATGGTATTAATTAAGGGATTTTGTCAGTCAGTAAAAAGGAAAGATGCTTTAAAGATCTGATATTTACTATTTCCTTGAGTCTTAAAACATATTTAGAGAGCATCTTTGCAATGTGTCAGTCTGTGATTCAGGATGAGAAAAAAATTCTGAAGAGTTCTAAAGTTTTTTCTGTCTGGGGGATGGTAGTTTGGTTTGAACACTTTTCTGCTGACTGACTCTTTTATACCAGGTGAATGGTGTTCATCACCATTTTGCTATTTTATTTACTGCTCTTATGGGATCTGTTTGTAATGAAAGTGAGAAGCACTGAGCTAAGGATGAGCTCTCTTCTTTTGCAGGTATATACAAAGAAACCAGCTTTTACAAATCTATGTACACTGAAGCCTAAAACACTGCACTGGTTTTCAACTGATCTCAGCTTCTACCTCTTCAGGAAAAAAAAAAAAAAAAGAAAAAGAAAAAGGATAGTTATCACAAAATACTTGGTGGATCTCTCTGGCACATTTTACAGCTGGGTTTTGAGAAGTATATGAGTGGGCTTTTTGTGAGGTACATGAACACCCTTTAAAACATATCCAAGCTGTGTATAGATAGAGTGAAGCTTAAGTCTTGGCTAGGACTCCACATAATCTAATCCTTTCATTCAAGTTCTGTCAAAACTCAGCCACAAACTCATTACTGAATTTTTCAGTTCCAGAGCTCTGTGAAAGGATGGAAATGCTGTGGCAAAAGAGTCATGCTGGCAGAAGAGTAGAGAGGAAGGACTAGTGGTGTCAGTGGAAACAGAGGATGCACACCTCTGACCCCTTCTGTCCTCTGATGTAAAATTGTATATCACAGCTGTCTCTGAAGGGTAACTGAAACCTTCTTGACCTTTCATTTCCACAACTTGAAAACTCTTCTTCCAGGATGGCTGGAAAACACTGTGGTGGAAAGGGCAAAGAAAAGATATTTTAAAGTCAATTCAAGCATTTGAAATTTTCAAAGAATAACATAAAGAAAAGTTTTCCATGGGAAAACTGGCATTATCATACCAACTTAAGAATGGTGAAATACCTCAGGAGATGTTCATGAGTATTCAGGAATATGCAGGAGCACACCTGCCACCAAACTCACTGCTCCTTCCACACATGAAACCATGATCAAAATGTGATGGTTAATGCTGGGCAATACCAAGAGCTCAATGAGATAAAAGCTGATGTAAACTTCAGCTTACGGTAATAGATTTTGAAAATAATTCAGCAGTGGCATGAGTCAGCCCAGTTGCATCAGCTCCTGTGATATCTGAATTTGGTCAGTGGATGAATCCAAACAAAGCAAATCTTGCTTTAGAAATAAATTTTACATAGCCTTTGTGCAGTTGAGCAGTGCAGGAGAGAAAAAAAATCAAGACAACTTCAAGCACAGACAACTCCAGCACTCTCCCTGAGGAAGATTTCTGTGGCAACCAGAAACTAAGTGTGATTGAAGCCATGCAAAATTTTTCAGAGAGCTGTTTCTTCCCAGGTCAAAACAGGCTTGCTTTTGAATTCACAAATTCCTAAAGGAAACTGGCCACCTCCTCACAAGTTACAATGTGTGCCCCCTTCCTTTCCCAGAAATAAGCAATATGATCA